AGTAGTTACTCTGTATTTAAATAATGATCATTTTATGAATACTCAAGAATGATCTACTTATAGTTTTTTATAGGGTGGGTTGTGTAAGAGTAGTGATTCTGAAACTTTTTGGTAATAAAAATTACTAAGGATCCCAAAAGCTATTAAAATTTTATATTTTGTATACTGATATTTAGCTGTTAAAAGTTTAAACTGATTAAATTATTTATTAATTCATCAAAGTTATCATCATAATTCTATTGCATGTTGACATACATATCACATTTTTTAGAAAAAAAATGTTTTTAAACAAAAAGATTATTAAGACTTCTGGCATATTTTACATTTTCCTCGTTACTTTTAAGGTCTGGCTTAATGAAGGGAAGCTTTAGATATCTGCTTTTACTTTCAAAGTGCCGTAATATTGCAAATCATACATTATATTTATCTGAAAATCTCCAGTGTACATTCATGAATATATGAGAATTAAAAAGAAAAATAACTTATGAAAATGATTTTCACCTTCCAGAGTCCTTGAAAAAGTCTTTGGTGTCCCAGATTGTTCCTTGAGAAACCTTGATGTGAGCAGTGGTTTTTGAACCTTTTGGCTAACAAATTCATTCTGGTGAATATATTGAGTTTGCATTCTGAATTTAAATTATCAATTTATTTTTGAATTTTTACACGTATTATTTATCATTAATTATGAATAATCATGAAATATAAAATGTGAATTTATGATAGAAAGAACTTATAATACATAAGCTTAAATATTTTAATACATTTTATTTAAATATTTATAACACATAAGTTTGAGGTTCTAGTTCTAAATGCAATTCATTATAGGTATTGAGAAAATATATTGTTTGTTACCTTCACTGAATCATGATACTAATTTTTAATTATTGAATTTAATTACACAATTATTTAATTGTGTAATATATTTTTAAAATTTGGCTGATGAATGTACATCTTCTTTGATATCCAAAGATCATTTTTACAAATTAATTGAGAGGTTTTGTTTCTATTCAAGTAGGGAAAAACATTAAAAATCTTTACTTAGAAAAATTGAGAACAGAATGGAATATTCTATTTTCACATTTAAATATTATACAAACATTAGATCTTTATAGATGATAAGTGTATGAAAATTCCAGTAACATTGCAATGGAAGCAATTTTGAAATTTTTAATATCTACTTACAAAATGCAACAGCATGCTGGTTTACTTAAGAACTGGTTCATGGGTAAATGAATGAATGAATGAATATATAAAATGGACTTCATAATCAAAATGATAAATACACTGAAAAGACATTCATGTTGCATTCAGCTGGACAGGGTGAATATGAATGATATCAGGCTTGAATTCTTTTGCTTGTCAATTAAAGAGAAGGTGGCAAAATTACATGAGGAGGAGGAAGTAATCAATTATAGCTAGATGGTAGCTCAGCTTCTAACAGCATGTAATGTACAAAAAAGAAGTAGAAATTTAGAGAAAATGGTGGAATAAATAGTGTCAGTGCCTTGGGATCATAATCACACATAGGCTTCCATCTTATATGCAAAATTATAAAATAAAATCACATATATGCAAATGGATTAAATTCATTTGAAAGAATTTAGAGATCAAATAGAAAATTCTGTTATAGATATTCTGTTAACAGATATTCTTTATCTATTTGCAAATTACAATCACAGAAAGTTAGTGTCTGCAGATCTTTCTTGATAGCCTAGATTTAGGAGCTTGTCATTTTGAAGTGACAGGGTAAGATGAACAAGATGAGAAACATTATCTATGTTTTACAGTTGAAGAAATCCGGTGGACTAGGAGCTCTAAAATTTTTCAGTAGAATCCTTATGACCCATATCTTCCAAAGCATGATGGGTGGCAACATCATGAGATGTTGTGACATGAGATGCTCCCTAAAAAACTCATGTGTCAGGAAATGCAGGACTGTTCAGAGGAAAAGTAATTCGATTATAAGAGCTGTAGCATAATCAGTGGATTAGTTCACTTGAAGGATTAATGATTTGAATTGGTAACAGTTGGCAGGTGGCAAGAGGCTGAGGGACAGAGTTCCATGGGGGTATGTTCTTTGGATTATATTTTGTCCCGGACTGCTTGCTCTGATCTTATCTCTGCTTCCTGGCCGCCATGGGCTAAGCAGCTTTCCTATGCCATATGCTGTTGCCCTGATGCTCACCAATCATCTCAAGTCCAGGGCAATGGAGTAGGCTGACTATAGGCAAAACCTCTGAAACCATGAGACCCCAGTAAATCTTTCCTCCTCTAAGTTGTTTTTATCAGGTATTTAAGTCATAGTGATGCGAAGCTGAGGAACACACAGGCATAGGTCATGGTGTCAAGTGTGGATAGTTCAATTGTGGAAGAGGGAGGGAATTTTTCTGATCGCTATCTTCACGTTATCTTTTACATTTTTTCAGTAGTAGGTATGGTGAATTACATGCAATGTTGCCTCACTAGAAATTGTTTTACATAAACCATAAATAGCACCAATAGCAAAACTCTCAAAAATCTCTTATTTTATTAGCATAGTGAATACTTGTAGTCAAAATTCCTCTATGGTTAAGTCAAGATTTTCATTATCACATTATATAAATTAAATGCAGTTTTTGACCTAATTTTTTTTTCTGTTTTTGGTGGGGAGGTGCTAGGGATTGAACTCGGGGAAACTTAATTACTGAGCCACATCTCCAACCCTATTTTGTATTTTATTTAGAGACAGGGTCTCACTGAGTTGCTTAATGCCTTGCTTTTGCTGAGGCTGGCTTTGAACACTTGATCCTCTTGCCTCAGCCTCCTGAGTCACTGAGATTACAGGCATGTACCATTATGCCCAGCTTGACCCAGTTTTAAAGTCCTTCCTCACTGAAATTTTAAATTTATATTCCATGATGAGATTCTATGAAGTCACAGAAACTATTCAAACAACAAATGATCAAATGATTCAAATTGTTTTGAGCTTATTAAGAGTTTCAAATTCCTCTGGTCAGCTGCAGGTGAGAAAGACATTCTGTGCGAGGTTGGGTTTTACTTAAAATATGAGATCAACATTGCCCAATATCCTTATAAATATGATTCATTTCACCTTATATACATGACTCAAGTAACGTCTTTACAAGATACAACATTAAAAATGCAAAAGTATATTTTATCAGCATCACATCAACTTCTATATCAATTAACCAATGATCTCTTCTTATCTTTTCCAGGTAAACTCAGCAAAACTGAGACTTTCTAGCTTTTGTGAAAGCACAATTACATTAAAGATTCCACCAACCTCTCTTTCTCCTGAGGCAAACTTCAATGTACAGTGGTATGGTGTTGATGGGGAGGGTCCACCTCCCCCTGTCCTCTGCTGACATCTGATTACGGCAGTGCACATTGCCATTTCCAACTGTCATAACCAGTGGATCCACTACCCAACATTCAGTGCTTTATCCTTTGGCTCTGGAGCTAGAAGAGTCTGGTTGTGGGAGGAAAATCAGTGAGTCTGCATTTAGGTCTCCATGGGTGGACTTGGATTTAATCATTGCATATCTTCCTGCTTATGCTATATCTGTTGGGGAACTCATTGAAAAGGAGTGTGCCTTTTTCTGCTGTTGGAGACTTAGCCTTATTGCAGGGTTTCTTCTCCTTTTGGCTGTGATGGCGCTATGTCCTAAAGGAAGATTGCACTGTGTCTGTGTTTGTTAAACTCATCAACACTCCACTAAAGCTATATCCATGAAAAAAGATATGGTATGAAAAATATTATAATAACAAACTTTATCCTGGTATCCACTGCATGCTAGATCCTGTTCTAAGTGTTTGACATGGACTAATTTGATTCTTAAAATTGCCTTATGAGGTAGGGTATTTTTACAGTCTCATCTACAGATGGGGTATCTGGAGCACACAATGATGGTGGTTACACAGCTATAAGTGATAAAATTAAAATTTAAACCACAGAGCTTATTCCAAATGTATAGCTCTATTATGCTCTACTGGTTTATATGAAGTCGTTGTGCTAAGAACATCGGTTCGGAGGGTGAGTTTCTTTAACCATTGAATTCATTTCTGAGTTAATATTGCATAAGTAAACAAAAGTACTTGCTAACAGTAATATTTCTCTTATACTCTGAGAACTTATTGAGAACTCCTTGTTGGTAAAAATCTACTAGGTTTAATGAAAGGCATTTGTAACATTTTTATTGTTACACGTAAAGAAAATGCCTGTACTCATCTTTGAGTCGGAACACAAGTATAAAAAATGTCTTAAAATTTAAAGGAAGCTTTTTCATGAAAATGGAGTTCTATATTAAAAAAAAAAGTGAAATCTCAACATTTCCATTTTCTGCTTATGGCTTCAGGATATGAACTTGAAGCCAAGGGGAAAATATTTGGTGCTTTTAAAACAGTTATAAAAGAAAATATTGATGCAAATGAGAAAGAATAGTTTTCTCTAGTCTGGTGCTTCAAAATTTCAAACTATTGGACTGAGACTGAGTGATCCTTTATGGACTTTAGTAATAAAATATTTGTCATGTAAAATGAAGAGAATCTCCAATGGGGGAAAATGGGTTTGGAACACCAGGGCACAGAGGAAGATGCTCAAGCTTAAGGGTAATTATCATCGCTTACTGGATGTCAGCAAAAACGCAGTGAAATTATTAGCTGTGCCTGGATCAAGTCAGCGTTTACCTATTAAAAATGCTGTTTCTTGCTTTAAAAGCTGGTTATAACAAAGATAATTTAAATATCTTGTGTGGGTAGGGTTTTGAATATGAGAAATTGAATGACACTTATGACCAACAAGTGGATCATTTGTGGCTAAACAACAGGAAATTTTCTTAATGCCTCGATGCCAGGTTTTAAAAATGAGTCAATAAATTTTTCAGATTGCTTCTGCAAAGAAGCCAATGGTGTGAGGTGTGTGGTGTGTTCTGCCCATACTGAGGGCATATAAAAGGTCCTCTTCAGGTAGAATTGTACAGACTCAAGTCACCTATATTCCTTCTCTACCCAAGGACAACCTCTCTACTCAACAGCCTACACGATGTGTGGTAGCTACTGTGGAAACTACTATGGCGGCTGTGGCTATGGCGGCTGTGGCTATGGAAGCTGTGGCGGTCTGGGCTATGGCTATGGAGGCCTAGGTTATGGTTATGGAGGCCTGGGCTGTGGCTATGGAGGGCTGGGCTATGGCTATGGCTGTGGCATCCGCAGACTGGGCTGTGGCTATGGCTGTGGCTATGGATACGGCTCCCGCTCTCTCTGTGGCTGTGGCTATGGATGTGGCTCTGGCTGCGGCTCTGGCTTTGGATACTACTAAGGAGGACATCATGCGAGATGCTCACCCTCTCCACCTGTGACATCAGGATTCATTGACTCCAAACTCCACATGTTCGAGTCTCACACTTGGATGATGATGATTCTGCCTAGGGAGTCAGATGTTGGCCTATATGGAAACTACCATTTCCCTGAGTTTACCTCCAGAAGTGGGTCAATGTCTCATGAAATTCTCATGAGACCTCACAGTTGTGCTCTCATCAGACCTTGGTGTCAGAGCAACTGCCTTGATGACCTTCAAAATAGAGGTTGTTCTCTGTTGTCCTAATAAACTTGCTTAACCTATAAGAGATATCTTGTCCGTCATTTGGTATCCAAAATTACTTGCAGTTTTTCATTTAGGCTTGTGAGAAAGAGAAGAATTAACATTCTTTGGTAGATAATCTTTCTTCCTCTTTCTAGATGGGTTTCTTTATAATTTCAAAGATCACCTAAGTTAGGTTTGTTTTGTTTTTGTTGTTGTGTTTTGGTAAACTCACTTTTCTCTTCTCCTTTTGAGGTAATAATGCATTTAGTTCTGGGTAATTCTCAACACTGAAACAAGTGTTATTTATATGCTATTTTATGCATTGCCTAGAATAGAGTACATAGTAATAAAAACAATTTTCTCAACTTTCAATAAACATCAATATATCTTAAAATTAATGCTCTTCCCATATCCTCCATACTTTTTAAATTGGAGATGTAAACTAAATAAAAGTCTTACAAGCTAATTCAACTTAATAAATAAAAAATGCATTTCGCCTTAATGGTAGGCAATCATATTTAGTTAAAATGCAGTTTCAGGAATAGACTAAGTTGTTTCAAGATCTTATAAGTTTCCAGTTCAAGATGTTGGATGGGACTGTGTTCATATCCAGGCTTCGTTAGGGAAGGATCCAGTTTCAAGCTCATGTATTTGTTGGAAATTCACTTGCTTGCAGAGGTGGGCTTGACGGGCTTATTTCCTTGTTGACAGTTAACTGAGTCCCTTGCAGGCTGTCTTTTGGAAGCCACTCTCAGCAGAAGAAGGTGCTCAGTAGGTTCCCAAACATAGCTGTTAGTTTTATCAAAGCCAGGAAGGCAGAAAATTTGATCCATCAAGAAGAGTACTGCACCTAAAGTAACCTAATTATCCATGCTTGCCCTACTCATGAGGTTAGAAGCAAGTCATGTGTTTCGCTGACTCTCACAGGGAAGGTCTTACACAAGGGCACCAACCTCAAGAGGCAGGAATCAAGGGGGGACATGTTGAGAAACTGCCTATCTCCAATTATGTGTGATTTGTCCCTCAGAATAGGGGTTAGAAAGTGGTTCTTCATTTTCAGTGTTCTTAACAATTTACAGAATAAATATTGGTATTATCTAGTCTATGAAGATACGGTAAAATTCTTCTGAGAAATCATCGGGGCCTGTAAATACTTGGTGATTTTTTTCCATTACTTCCAAGGAAATTGATCTCTAAATCCAGTGATTTAGATTAGATCTAATTGATTTCTAAATCTAATGGCTCATTTTGGTAATTTCTTTCCATAGGAAATTATCTATTTCATCTTTATAAATTTAAAATACATAGAGTCTGCAAAGTAGTCCCATGATATGTCATATTTCTTCAATTTCAATTTTTATTCCCTCCTTGTTTGTTATGCTGTGTATGGTTTCTTTTATCTTGATCAAGCAAGTAATCTGTACCTCTGTTTCTTTCACATAATAGTATTTTGTCTTATTATTGAAATCTTCCTTTTATTCTGTTCTCTACTTGGCTTGTTTTTGCTTTCCTATTCATATATGTATATATATATATATATATATATATATATATATCTTAAAGATTTTTATGTTTTTTTCAGCATAAATATCATGCATATGTATTTTGTAATTTGTGCAGCTTTTGCTTTGAAATTTGAGTCAAATTGAAAGTGTTTCAGTTAATATAAATTAAGCCTATTCATATATATGGATGTGACTGACATTTATGATAATAATCTTTTTTAATCTTTTACTGATTTTATTTTTTTAAAATACACAACAGCAGTGGAATTCATTACAATTCTTATTACACATATACACCACAATTTTTCACATCTCTGTTTGTATATAAAGAATATTGACACCCAATTCAAGTCTTCATACATGTACTTTGTATAATGAAGTCCATCACATTCCACCATTCTTATTAATCCCCTGTGCCCTCCTTTTCCCTCCCACCCCTCTTCCCTATCTAGAATTCATCTAATCTTCCCATGCTCTCCCTCCTCCCGCACAATGAGTCATCCTCCTTATAACAGAGAAAACATTAGGCATTTGTTTTTTGGAGATTGGCTAACTTCACTTAACATTATCTTCTGCCATGATTTTGTTCTTTTTTAATGCTGAGTAAAATTCCTTTGTGTATATATGCCCCCCCTTTTTTTAATCCATTTATCCACTGAGGGACATCTAGTTTGACTCAACAGTTTAGCTATTGTGAATTGTGCTGCTATAAACATTGATGTGGCTGCTCCCTGTAGTATGCTGTTTTTAAGTCCTTTGGGTATAATCCGAGGAGAGGAATAGCTGGGTCAAATGATAGTTCCATTCTCAGATTTCCAAGGAATTTCCATACTGCTTTCCATATTGGCTGCACCAATTTGCAGCCCACCATCAATGTATGAGTGTATCTTTTCCCTCGCCAACACTAATCTTCATCATGTGGGATTAGGCCCCAACTTCCTTATTAAGACTCCTATAGTGTAAGAATTAAAACCAAGAATCAATAAATGGGATGGAACCAAATTAAAAAGTTTCTTCTCAGCAAAAGAAACAATCTATAAGGAGAACAGATAGCCTACATCCTGGGAGCAAATTTTTACCCCTTATACATCAGATAGAGCACTAATCTCTAGATTATACATAAAGAACTAAAAAAGCTAAACACAGAAAAAACAAATAACCCAATCAACAAATGGGCAAAATACCTGAACAGACACTTATCATAAGAGGATATAGAATCAATCAACAAATATATGAAAAAATGCTAATCATCTCTAGCAATCAGAGAAATGCAAATCAAAACTACTCTAAGATATCATCTCACTCGAGTCAGAATGTATGACAATAATCTTTATGTCTTTTATTAAATAGTTTAGGGTTTGTTTTTGTTTTTATATAATGATTTTGAGTTTTCCTGTTTTAATGTTAATTATCCAGGGGGAATTATGCTCAGTTGGTGTCATTGATTTCATTTACAGACGTTTTGCAATAAATCTGTGTGCCAACTGTTAATCTGTGTCTTGTTATTTATTTTTGGTAGTAGTATAATTTACATGATTTCTAACTTAATGAAACACTTCCACCAACACAATAACTTTCACTTTTTTAACATTTTCTGTTTTGTTTCTGATGATACAAGTTGGATACCTTCAAATTTGTTTTAACTTTGTTTTGGGTGGATCCTAATTTTTCAATTTACTTATTTAACCTTCATACCCAACTTCTAAATACTGCTCCTCCCATCTCTTTATATGTTTCTTCCTAAGAAGTTATGAGTTTTTCTGGGTGATGGTGCATGCCTGCAATTATAGTGATTCCATATGCTGAGGTAGGAGGATTGCAAGTTCCAGGCCAGCTCCACAAATTAGTGAGGTTCTAAGCAACTTAGGGAGAAATTGCTTCAAAAAAAAAAGACAAAGGCTGGGATATGGCCCAGTGTATAAGAACCCCTGAATCCAATCTCTGACACCAAAAGAACCCCCAACCTCCCCAAAAGTAAGTTATGAGTTTTGCCAACTACTCCTACAAACCATGCATAGTTTTCAACTCCTTCCCTGATGTTTATTTGCTTATCTACCACAATCCCTTCTCTTTGCTTTTCCTTCTTCTCTTATCCTTCTTCCCTTCTTCCCATCTTTCCCTTCTGAATTCTATATGCAGAATGAGTTATCCTTTTGGGTAGGTTTTCTAGGTGGACATCTAGCCTTATTTCTAACCATTCTACTGTCTTCCTGAATTTTTTTCTGTCTGTTTTTGTTTATCACAAAGCTTAGCAGCAGGAAAAGGATGGAGTAAAAGAGAGTTTATGTATTAGGATTTATTTTAATTTGTTTTGTTAAAATTAGTCATACTTTGATTTTCATTTTTGCTGAGGGTGTCATTTTTTTCATATAGCTTTTGTGTTCCTTGGTTGTGAGTTGAATTGTATTGCCCCCCAAAACATATTGAAATCCTTACCCTTAAGATTTACAAATGTTTTCTTATCTAGAAATAAGGTCTTTGCAAATGCAATCAAGTTAAAATGAGGTCAGATAGAGGGGTTGATCAAATGCAGTGAGTGGTGTTCTCTTAGAAGGCTATATGAAGACACAGGAACACAGAGACTCTCACAGAAAATTCCATATATAAAGACAGAATAAGAAACTGAAATTATATTGCCACAAGTTATATTGCGAAGGAGCATCAAAGATTGCTAGTAACTTCAGGATGCCTGAAGAAATAATGAATGATTTCTTTCTGGAGCTTCTGAGGGAATATATCCCGCTGATATCTAGATTTCAGGCTTCTAGCCTCCAAAATTGCAAGATAAAACTTTGTATTATTTAAGACCTATTATTTGTAGTAATTTGTTACTGGAACTTAAGAAACAAATGTGCCCTTATTGCTATTCATCATTCTTTTGGAAGAAAGGTCTTTGGAAGACTTTGTTTTTAAAAAGCATGATTGCCTTTTACTACTTTGAACATATTCATAATGACTTCTTTGAACTATGTGTCTGATAAGTCTGACATAAGAATCTTGTTAAAAGTTCACTTTTTATATGCTGATGGCATTTTTATATATAAACCACATTTTTGTTTTTCTTGTATATCTCATAATAACATTGAAACTGGAACTTTTAGTTTGTATTCTGTGGCTACTCTGGATACGCTTCTCGTTTTTTTATTTGTTTAGTGACTTGGCTTAACTAAATGTTAATGAATTCTATTTTCTCCTGCTGAAAAGTCTTCAATGTCTACAATGTCTACAGAAGGTGTAGTCTATGACATGTGCAGTGTCATCCTGAGATTTTAATTTTCTTAAATCTTTCTTTCCTTGATTCTTCTGTTAAATATTTGGTCTTTCTTTCTGTCACTTTCAACTGTTAAGTTCACTAATTTTAGGTGATTATGACATGATTTTCTAAAATATGTTTGGAAATAAATGGCTTCACAGATTTAACTAATTTTTAACTCTTTACTTCAAGTATATAATACATTATTATTATTAACTAAAGTCACTTTGTTATCACTACATCACCAGAAATTA